CGAGGGCAGGGCAGCCCTGCCGCCGCCCCGTGTGTCTGAGGCCCAGCCCGCGGGGCTGCACCTCCAGGTCGTGGATGTTGAAAGGGTCCTCGAAGACATAGGCGGCGTCGGCGCCCACAGCGATGCCGGCCACGGTGGCCAGGTAGCCGCAGTAGCCGCCCATGGTCTCCACAATGAACACACGGCGCTTGGTGCCCGAGGCTGACTGCTTGATGCGGTCGCAGCTCTGGGGACCACAGCAGGGTCAGCGCCTCAGCCAGGCACAGGCTCTGCCCCAGCCCCATCCCCAGTCAGAGGAGCCCGCGCCCGCCGTGCCTCCATGGCAGCGTTGACGGCCGTGTCTGAGCCCAGGCTGAAGTCCGTGCCTGGCACGTTGTTGCTGATGGTGGCAGGGATGACGCACATGACAATGCACAGCTCCTCGTAGCGCGCGCGTGCCTCCACCAGCTGCAGCACCCCCTCGTAGGCCTGCGCAGCGGGCTATGTCTGTCCCGCGCCACAGCCAGATGTGCGCCCTCCTCCCTCCTCCGGCACCCAGTCCCCCAGACCTGGGAAGCCTCCAGGTCAAACCCCAGCTGCAACCCACACGAAACGCCAGCTCCTCGGCGCCCGGCCCACACAGGGCCAGGGACAGGACCCCTGGTGGCCGGAGGAGGGGCCTCTCCGCACCCAGACCCACGGCCCTCACCTCGAACCCGCCAATGACCAGCAGGGCGTGGATGCTGTACGCGCGCAGATTCTCCACGATGGCCTCCACGTGGGCCTTGGGCAGGGTCCTGCAGCGAAGAGACGTCAGTGTGGGTGTGCGGACTCCAGGACACACGCATGTGTGCCCAGGGCTCACAACCAGTCCTCTGCTGTGCGCTGAGGCAGACAGACCGGGCTGCGTGGCCCGGGTGCCACCCCAGCACCCACTAGGCACAGTAACCAGCAGGACTCACCTGCTCCTCAGGACATGTGGCCTTGGGACAGGCAGCATCCAGCAGTCACAGCAGGTGACCGCACCACACACCCACTGTGTACACGACCTCAGGCCCACCCTGATGGCCCAGACCCCATGACACAGGCACGCCAGGCACACAGTGACAATGCCCACAGCTGCCGGGGGCACAGGCCCCGATTCTGCAGGGCTGGTGCCCCTTTGCCCTCCCTTGCTCCCTGCTGCCCAGCAGCCAGCAGCTCACCTCTTGGTGCCCAGCATGGAGCCACCACGCCCTAGCCAGCCAGCCACATCATGCCAACCTACTTCCTGCACCTGATGAGAAAAAGCGTCAGAGGACAGGCCAGAGGACGTGCCCCCTCAGCCAGGACAGACCAGGTGGACTGACACATCATGACCAGGGCTGCGCCCCCGGGCCTGTGGGGCAGGGCCTCCCCTTCCCTGCGGCTACCCACCACCCGGGGCTGCGCCCAGGCCACACTGAAGGCCGTGTCCGCCCACCTCCCTCACACTGCACCCACCTGGCCCTTGGCCAGGCCCTCGAAGCCATCGTGCACGACATACACCACGTGGCCCTGGGAGATGCCAGTCCGCACCGC